GCATGTAAGGGAGTTCTAGATACCTGGATATAACCACTTTTTCTCTAGCCAGAGGACAGCATCTAAGTAAGATGTGTTTTGAGAATAATACGGATAGAGAGGCAGGGAGGTGTATGTTAGTAAATCACCTCTTTTAATCTTCACCATAAGTCTGTAGGGTAAATATTATAATTACCCCCCATGAAAAGCAAGAAAATTTACACTGACTATGTCTAAATGCCTGGCCAAGGTCTTGCTCTACAAAAGGCCAGAACGAATCCAAACATAAGATGGACTCAGTGTACTGGGGCCTTGTACTGCTCTCCCCCACATTTCTTAGGTTGGTATTTACTGCCCCACAACTCACCAAATGTAAACCCTGAGAAGAAGGAACTCTAGGCTATTTATTGGTCCTTGTGCAAAGGACAGCAGAAAGTAGGAAGCCATGTAAGACTTGCCACTGACCTAAGCTTTCTGCCACAACTCCTGCAGGACATTTAAATCAAATTAGCAAGCAATTCCTAATGTGCTGATTTCCCCCCCAAAGAACTGTATGTCTGGAAGGATACAGAGGTGCAGAAACCAGGCTACCTGTTCTCTGGGAGCTGATTTTGTAGTGGGGGAACAAATATGTGCAAAATTTACTCTACCACACAATGTGCTCTAACCAAAGTAGATCCAGCTTAGACTTGACAACACAGAAATCACAACAGACTGAAGTTGCTAATAGTCAAGTTCACAAATCAAGTTCACAAGAGTTGAACCAGTCAACTCTTTTGCACACAACTGTGGAAACCTCCCTGTGCCCAGTGAGTATGTGAGGGTGAGCACCTGTAACCCAAGGGATGCTCTCCCACCCTTTCATCTTACAGAAAAGGAAGCTGAGAGGGAAAGAGCCAAGAGGCAGTTGTGGAAGTTCCCAGAGTTCCTGTGTGGGGACCTACTAGGTCAGCCCAGATCCTCTAAGAGACAGAGTGGAGAGGTGGTTAAATGAGCCAGGGTTTTATTAGGGGAAATGCTTGTGTGAAAGAATGTAGGAAAGGTTGGGGAAGCCTAGGCAAGCTGTGCCCAACTATGGCGGAAGATTCTGGGTGCTTTGTGGTAGGAAATCCATGGTGCTAGCACCTGAGGGGGAACACCTACACTGTGGGAAACAACAGCAAGGATTAATTTGTTAATTAAAAAAAAAAAAAGAATGAAAAAGAAAAGAAAATTCTGGCAAGATATATAAAAATAAGAAAGTGAAGGAACAAGGAAGAGGAGGAGAGAAGCCTGCTAAACTGCTGACAGGCTGAGGAGGATTCAGCAAAGCCACTAAGGTGAGGCCCCAGGGGGCCAATGAAGGAATCTCATCTTTCCCAGGAATGGGTCTGCCTCAGTTTACTGGCAGGTGGATGCATCCTGAACCCCTTCTATATGGCCAGTGGGAAGTATCATCATGGGGGGAAATCACCATTCCTACTGGAACTGGAACTAGAAGGTAGGGCAAGATAGTTTCCAGGAAAAGCAAAAAGCAGCAGCTGAACAGACCAACTCTGTGTTCCATCTACCTACCCTCTCTTTGGCAAAGAGGCAGCCCCTCTAACTAGAGCGAGGTACAAGTCTCTCCAGCTATGCACCTTGTCTTTTGGTTTGAAAAGTCACATCCCAAGGCTCAAGTAGATCACAAGACAATGCTTGGCTCACAGAGGTGAAAGGCTGACCTAGATCTCCAGGAACATGAACTTGCAATTCTCTGAGGTAGAGATATCACAATTGATACTGAGATGTTTAAATCTCCACAATTTCCCTGCCAATCTGGAAAATTAGCTAGAGTACATCCTTTTCAACTGGTAAAGAACTGATCCTGGGTCATCTCTCCTGTTGGCCTCTGCTCTTCCTCACCCCACCCCATTGCACTTTTTAAGAGAAGGTCAGTGCTGTGCAACAGGCTGCTAATATCCCATGGTGGACAATATTTTCCCCACATTTTAATAGGGTGCCAGGCTTTTCTGAGCCCTTATATCACACAATACTTAACTTGTTTGGAGTGGGTGGGGGTGGAAACATAGTCTGTTGGAAACATCACTGCTTCCTGCCTGAAATTAAAAAAGCTTATTATCATCCATCTTGTAGATTCTCTCAGGCTAACTCTCATAAAGGGGAGAAAAGAAGGGCTTATAATATCCACAAGATTGGCTGAGTATTGTGCTGCTAGAGATCTATCAATGACCATAGAGCAGGGCGTAGCTCATGCTGGGGTGAAGGGAGGGCACCCAATCCCTAGTCTAGAGGCTTGCCTGACCCTCTAAATCAGCATCTACTACTGTCTAGGATCAGGGGAGCCTTGTGACATTATCAGTTATAGTTATTGAAACAAAATTTGGACCTTGAGTCACTCATTATTGTCTACCATTTGGGAGTCAGTAAGAGCAGAATGACTAACTGGTGAGCTATAGAGTCAGAACCAACTGGTATCACTCCCAGCAAGATCGTGACTACACTGTAAGAAATTAGGCAAGTTGCTTAGCTTTGCTAGTCTTCACACTCACTAAACGAAAAATGAGCAAGACATTAGGATCCTTCTCCAAGGGAATTATGAGGATGAAATAAGAAAATATATGCAATCAACATATACAACACTGTGCTCAGGACATAATATAAGATTTCCAAGTGATGAGATGGTTACTTTATAAATGTAAATGTCTTATTGCTAGACACAGGTCTACTAATGTGTTGTTTGTGACCTTGAGCAAGTCACTAAATCCTAGCAAGACTCGGATTGTCTGAGATGGATGTATGAGACCACTTCATGAGGTGGTTGTGAGGATTTGGTGAGATGACTGTGTCAAGTGTGTGCAAGTGTTAATCAAAACTATTATCATTGCCATTGTTATTAGTGCTCAGTGATCTTATTAAACAAGAAGTTGGTGGATAGCTTTGGAAGAGTTAAAATGAGAGTCAAGAGCATGTGAATGATTCATTTAGGGCTTCCCAAATATGTGTGCATGGTATGAATTGTGTGATAATATAAATCACAAGTTAACTCCTTCTCAATGATTAGTTGGCAAACTCTCCAGAGGATACACTTCCTCAGCCAACCTAGGAAAGTGAGAGGATAGACATTTGTATAATACTCTTACCTTTTCTGGTGTCAGTAGGAAACAGTATTTACTCACTACTGTTTTCCTTTCAGAAATCTGTCTAGTTGCATACTAGGAACAGTTTTAGCTGGTTTGTTTGTCTTGGACAAGCTGTTGAAGTGAAAAGTTTTTGCTTGGCTGAATGTGGGACAGTTTCATAACCCTTTGAGAAGTTCAGGAAGGTGGGTGCCAGCCCAGAGGCTGCTCCTGCATGCCTCTGCCCGCCGCCCATTGTCAAGAGTGGCGACGTAATTGTAATCAATTTAAGACAATGAGCAAAGCAACAGATGCAACTGAGACCAAACCCTCGAGTACTTTTGTTTTGTCACTGTCATTGTCTGCAACAAAGAAGTCACATGTGAGAGTCTGGGAAGAGAGCCAAATGCGAACCAGACGACACCCCAGCTGGTTTTGCATGGCCTCCACCTTAGCAAGTGTGCACAGGAGCCATGCTGTGCAGAGCAGCCTGGGCTTTGACTCAAGTGAGCTTCTGCCCCTGCCTTTGCTGCAATGCTAAGGCAGAGGCAGAAGAAAGAGGTCAGAGGACCCCTCTGTGCAGACCCAACACTTTACACCTCTGCTTTGAGAGTAAAGAAAATAGAACTCTCAGGTGGGGACAAAGGATAAGATCGACATGACAGGCCAATCCAACTCAAGCCTTTTGCTACAGCCCTCATGAATTTGAAGAGAAAAGCCTGGGCAATACCTGAAATGTTTTCTTCTGGAAATTTGAGCTTAATTGGGCTTGAGAGAACTAGAAATTAAATACTTATGTGACTTCTTAAAAATGTGTCACCATTTCATTCTTGAGTATTTTCCTAGTTTGAAAATTACTCAGATTCTAAAAAAAAAACCTCTTTTTCTACTTTTTCTAGCTGGTATATTATTTAAAACAGAAAAAAAGGCCTCAAAAAACTCCCTCGGTGTATTTTTATACTTCTTAGTTAATGTGGCTAGTAATTTCGTAGAGAGGCCTTAATAACAATGATTTGGGAAACTTGATGGACATCCATTACCAGCAGGGTCAGTTAAGAAATGAAATGTTTTGAGGAGCTTAGTGATCTTACTCTCCATGTTACCCCATTATCTTTGGGGGGAAGTAACAAGATTTTAAACAGATGCCATTTCAAGCTATGCTACAGATGTCTGATTTCTTCCCACCAGCTTTTTCCAGTGGCACTAAACTAAATATTTTAAAAAGCTTTTTTTTTTATCACAATGCCCTTTTTTCTTCTACTAAGTTATACATTATATTGACTATCCACTCCTAAAGTGCTAACAAGTTTTTACGAAGGATTTAGTGATAGTATTCCAGGTAGAAGTGAAAAATGCAAGAAAATACATGTACTATTTCTGGTGCAAGGCAACCCCAATGTGAAATAGGTTGGCCAGACTGTAGGTCCTCACCCACACACTTAAAAGGGACTTACAATAAGACTCGACAGCAAGCACACAAAAAGGTTAATGAAGGTTTGAGTTACAAAAAGGGGAAATGAAAGGAATAACTCACGGTGAAAGAGAGGGAGATACACTGTTGACTGTGTCTTATTAGTTTTGAGAATTGGAACCCCAATAGCACACTGAAACCCGGTGAAAAACCAAAAGGCCCCCAAAGCCCACAGGTCTGGTTATATACCGAGCCTAGCTGCTCAACTCCACCATCGGTTCCCAACAACCCTCCCTTTGGTGTGATGACATTAAGAGATTTGTAGTGCTCGGTGTCTTGGATCTCTTGGGCCTGGGGTGGGAGTGGGGCCTGTAAAACTTATTTATGGAGTTTGTTCAATACATCCCTCCCCACAACATTTCCAGGGATTGTTGTTGAGTCTGCCCCAACTTCTCACTCTCTCTAAGGCCCATAAAACTTTATCCAGCTAATGTTTTCTTCCTTATTTTTAGGAAGTACATTTGAAGAACACAAGTAGAGGGAACGCAGGAAACAAGAACTACAGAATGTAGGAGGACCTTCCTGAAGAGTGAAGAATGACATGCCACCGGCAGGACCCTTTGCTCTGTACAAGTTACACCAGAAGACCTACCAAAAAATAACATTGATAACATTTCAAAAGAAAGCTGGGCATTCCCCCAATGAAATACGCAAGTAAACATTCCAACCTTGTCTTTAGGAGTGATTGTTAAAAAAGTTTTGCACCTTGCAAAAATGGTCCTGGAGTTGGTAGATTGCTGTTGATCCTTTATCAATAATGTTCTATAGAGAAAAAATATACATGTGTATATAGATATAGGTATCTATATACATATATATTAGTCCCTGCCTCTCAAAAGCCACAAATGCATGGGTATTGTAGAGATCCAGTTGCACTAAATTTGTCTCTGAATCTTGCCTGCTGGAGCCATTCATTCAGCAGCCTTGTATGAGTGGTTTATTAATTTTTTTATTTGCACTTCCTTCTATACAACACAGGCTGTTGTTTTACAGTGTCTGATAACCTTGTTTATCTCTCCCCACCACTGCCATCACCTTTATATTTGCCAAACTTGGCCTCCTCAATAGCAGCGGCAAGCAAAGTAGCACACCTCTTTTCAACCCACAAGACTCCATCCATGGCATTTGTACCAAATATAAGTTGGCCCATTTATTTTAGACACAAAGCTTTATTTTTCCATATCTTGCCAAAAAAAAAAAAAGCAACTTTGAGGCCAATCATTTTCAGACTTATGTTTTAAGCACAGAAAGTCTCAAATTCTCAAGGGTTCTTTCAAATGATGAGTTTTTGTGCAACCTGATTAGGACTTCTCTGTTTATTTTTTCCATATAGAGCACTATGTAAATTTAGCATACTACAGGATATATCAAACAGTATGTAAAATTCTGTTTTTTAGTACTATGGTGCTATTTTGTAGTTTGTTATATGAAAGAGTCTGGTCAAAACGGTAAAAGGTGAAAGCAAAACAAAAGAGGAAGCCTGGAGCCAACCATGACACCAAGGGGAGGGTACTGAGACTCCATCCACATGGGAAAAGGCTAAGTAACCCCATGATGCCTTTCAAGAGAAACTTAAGTCATGACACCATCCACAGGTGCAAATTTGACAGATGAGTCCAGAGAGGAATGGAAAAGAGGAAGGCTAGGAATTTTCACAGTTCCAGTTTCTTTTTTTTGTGAAGGAAACAAACATCTGCCAGTTGGCCATGGACTCACTACTGAGTGATCTTGGGCAAGTCACTTCACCTCTCTGTGCCTCAGTTTCCTCATCTGCAAAATGGAGGCAATATGCCATCTACCTACCTCAAAGGGGTGGTATAAGGATCAAAAAGATGAAGTCTAGCTTTTTATCCTGGGTTGCTGAGGGTTCAAGGTCAGAGCCCTTGAGTTGTTGAGATGTAAAGAAACTCTCTAAGCACACCCTTCACAGCACAGCTACAGAATTGATCAGCCAAGTGGCCCTGGCATGCTAGTTCTTGTCAATCCAGATGTCCAACCAACTACCCAACTAACCAGCTGGTAAGAGTTAATAGGTCAACACTTTTCAAAATAAGTCAGAAACATTTGATGTACAATTTGATTTTGAATTCTGCCTTCAACTTTATGAATACAAAGTGAAAAGAGAGAAAGGGTAGGAAAAGAGGAGGGGAAAAGAAGCCTTCACACAAGAGTGATTAAATTACTGGTTCTTAGCACTCACCAACTCTTCCAGGCAGTTTCTAGTAATCTTGTAATACTTCTTTTAATATTAGAAGTGATATCTATTCATTTGAAAAACACCTATTCCTTCTCTAAGATTATCTAAAAAATGTTCTAAGCAAAATTTTTGAAATGCCAAAATAATATCTAATAAAAAGTCACAAAATTACCTTCTTAAATGAATTTTGCTCTTATCTGGGCTGTATATACATTTTTTTTTAACTTTTTTTTTGTTAAAATATACTTGACTATAGAGTTGCTAATTGAGAGGCAAAATCTTCCCTCCTGTCCACCTGGGAGTGTCATGCCTTGCCATCTGCAGGTGAAGGGATGTTTCATCCACTCAAATGACAATTGGTATCAAGAGCATCCAGTGGTGAGATGGACCTGTGGTGGCCCTAAAAATGTTTTCTGTCTCCAAAATCAAGATTTCACTAGAACAATGAGTCGTCCACCATTCCGATATGATTTTACCTGCTTTAGCATCCCAGGATTGATTATTTTATACAAATATTATCCCTTTCATTCTTGGAAAGTATTTATGCAACAAAGAAAAGCAAAAGCAAACACGACACTATTAGTGGTCACCCCACTGCCTCCCCTTAAGATTCAGAGGCCAGGGGGTGAGGAAAGAAGAAACTTCATGGCTCCATAAACATAGGCAAAAGGAAGATCTCACTTAAGGGGGTGCCCCTGCTCGTCATTAAGCATCCTAATACAATATTGAATCAGGTCCCTTCAGCATGCTCAATGCTGTTCTAATCCCAGACAAAGCATTTTGTTGAAATACTGGACCCCTCTTCCCGAAATGGCACTTCTGATTTTTATTTCTTGTTCCTGGTGAGTACTTCTTAAAATTCCTGCCCCACTTTACCTGCAATCTTCTACAGATGTAGGAGTTCCAGATGTTGTTGAGTATGGTAACTCTAAGAGTGTCATGGCTTATTTCATTTACTTAAACATTAACTCATAGCCAAAATGCTCCAGTAAGGAAAACTCCCATATGTAAAAATCACATTATCTTTGTTAACTTTTTCCAACACATGATCCCCAACTGAATCATAAATCAAGTAATTGGAAATTAACTAACTATACTAACCAACTATCTTCAAGTACATTGAAACTAGATGGCAAAAATTCAGCTGACTCCAATAGTACTATAGTAAAATGACCCAGGATTGACAACCAGAAGCATCTGTCAGCTCACAACTTGAAACTTTAGAGTCTTTTGCTTTTGAGTTTTACAATGAGCATATTTCAAAATGCTTGTAAAAGAAGTGTAAGTATTGGTAAGAAGGGGATTTCAACTCATCAACTTATTTCCAACCAAACTGACAATATGAAATAACTAGGTCAAATTTCTGTTCCTACTTCCCCAACTAATATCCTAATATTATTTGAACAATTTAAAATGAAGAGACTCCACTGAAGGAGTTAAATGCACCTTTCCACCAGAATCAGCTCTTCTGGATGTAAAGAAAACTGTCCCAAAACACATACACAAAGTCATCCTCACACTCTTCTGAGAGTCCACCAGAATACTTATTAAAGAATCTTATTAAAGAAATAAAAAGCCTGGCCTCCCTTGAGAACTCTTTCCCTCTGTAGAATGTCAATATCTGTGTAGATAAAACTAACTCATGCACTGTGGCTTCAGAGCTTCTATAACTAGTTTTTGCACTTGGGAGAATGCTTAAAATGGAAGATGTAGCACATTTTGCTTTCCCATTTATTGTTTGGCCAGCTATGCCAATGTGGTGCTATTGTTTCTTTAAGAAAGTACTTGACTAAAAAAAAAAGAAAAAAAAGAAAAAAAGAAAGCATAGACATATTTTTTTAAAGTATGAAAACAACAATTCTATAGATAGATGGCTTAATAAAATAGCATTAGGTGTAGCCACCACTACCTTTCAACATTTGATCACTCACCAGTTAGCATCCTATCCACCAAATTGTGAGTTGGGGGGTGCAGGGGTAGAAGATGGACAATTTTTTAACATTTGAAGGTTGCGTTATTTTGTTGGCTCTCAAACTCAGCACAATTAGTAATATATTATCCAATCTATACATCTTGATCAAGAGCACGGAATAGCAATGGGGAAAGAAAAAAAAAAAAACTCATCAACAAATGGCAGAAGAAAAAGATCGTTAAATTACTGATTTTTTGTGCTATCTGCCCTGAGACAGATACTCAGCAAATGGAGAAAATAAAAACAAAGAGGAAAAAATACAGATTCACCTGAGAGAGACAGCTTCTGTCACAACCCCCTTGAGTAATTCTTTGGCATTTACTGGTTTATAGCAGATATTCTCCCTCATCTAAACATCTCAAGGAGCACTCGCTCTCATAAAAAGCAGTCACTGATCTCACTGGGAAATATTGACAAGTATTTCCTTATGAGATGGGGGTTATCTACTGATAAGGAAAGAGAAGAATTTATGAGAAATTGTTGAAAGAGATGGCTAACAATCTGTGAAGATTTTTTTGTTTTGTTCTTTTTTTTGTATTTTACTTTATATAGTCTTTATGAATATCAATGTTCAAAAATGACTTGGTTCTTTCTTCTTTTTATATTGGAATGAGGAATGATAAGTTAAATCCACATAGACTCTTTAAAACTATAGGCTAGATAGAAATGTATGTTTGACTTGTTAAATCTATAATCAGACTATTTAAAATGTTTTTGCTATTTTTAATCTTAAAAGATTGTACTAATTTATTAGAAACAGATCCTGTTTGACTCTTGTGATAAGAAAGAGAACTCAAATCACCTGGACTTCACCATCAGTGTTTTCAAAAGATAAATCTGATTTTTACATCATTACATCATCACTTATCTCAAAATTTTAAAATTGAATTGTGATTCTTTATGCCTCACTCCTGCAATAATCAAAAATTCAGAATCTGAGGGGGCAAAAAAAAAAAAGAGGAAAATTTTGTAGACTCTTTGCTTTGAGTTTATTTGTTTTCAATGCTAGTGTTTAATCATATAGTACATATTTGCTTATCGCTATTTTAATATCCTAAAAGACCTTCCTGTTAGGTATTAGAAACTGATATATATATAATCCTTTTTGTGTGTGATTTATATTTAAAAAAATAAAGGAGATGAAAAGACTGTCTGAAGCTTTAAGTGCGTATGGTACAGGATAAAGATATCGATTTAAATACCCACGTGGTATCTGAAGTGAAAGATTTTTTTTTTTTTTAGGAAACCTCTCATAGATAATACAGAGGTCCAGGAGATTTTTGAAATTGTCTTTCTTCCTTCCAGTCTTTATTCATTTAGTATCTGGCTCAAAATTTTACATAGGACCTACCAATCTGGAGCCCTAGCTATAAAGGACCACTGTATAGGTCATTTCACAGGTCATTTCTCTCTTAATTTATGAGTCCACATGATGTCAACATGGTCCCACTTTTGCCCTTTTTTCAGCTGTCATTGATATGGTCTTCCAAGAAAAAAAACTTAATTTGAAAAGGAACACAAAAGACCCAATGTTGCTGTCCAATTGAAATTTGAGTTAAGATGGAGATAGAGTTTCTTCTACTTAGCCCCTGCTGAGACCTATCACCTTCAAAATGACCTTTCACAATCCTTAGAACCTGCTTTTTTTTTTAATTGCCAAGGCTACTATATCCTAAAATTAAATATTATTCATTCTCTTTTACCCGAAATGCTCTGATGTTAAAGTAGAAAATTCTAAAATCCCTCCCAAGACACCACTGACCCCTCTCACCAACCCATAGCAAAGTCACTTCTGTTAATCCCTTAATCTGATTCTGTTTGGATATTTATCTTGTACCTGCTGCTAAACACACTACAAGAGGGATTCTGAGACCTCAAGTCAGTCATCCTCTCACATCTCTTATCATTGTCTGTTTATCATTGTCTATTCATAATATCGAAAAAATTGTCTAACATCATGCAGCTTGTATTCAGTTTACATAAAGGTCCCAAAGACTCTGTCGATGTCTCTT